TCTGGTAAGTCTGTCATAATATGTTGGTTTAGAAATGATAGTGCTTTTGCAACTGTTCTGTTGTCTGCCTGCAATTTTGTAAAAGGCCTGATTCTGATGCACTATGTCATCGCACACGTGCAGTGGGTGGGTGGGATATCTAAAGAGTAAAAGTAGTGCTTTGCATGGGTAAAGATAACAAATCTGGAACCTCAGAAGTTGCTGCAATAATACTTACTGGTTTTCTCCCATTAAAAAAAGTTAATTTCTATCTTTTCTATTTTTAGATCATAGTAGAATGCACATTCCTTGATTACATCATGGGTGGGTGTCAGCTGAATTTCACAGTAAGTTAAATCATTTATGTAAAGTAGCTTTTGAGTTTTGGAACAAACGGAAGTGTATTTGCGGTTGGACTTAATGATCTTAAGAGGTCTGTTCCAGCCTTAAAGATTCTGTGATTCTATATAATTGATTGCCTGTGCTCTTAATTTGATTTATTGTATTTTTTGTTGTTCTATAGCATGGAGGGGGGGAAGCTGTTTTGCCAGAGTCCATCTAGTCTGTTTAGAAAAACTTATTTTCTTTACTGATGGCACGAAGTTCTGAACCTGTAGTTGTGTTTGTTAGGAACTAGCTGAGCTGCGTGGATGGAAACCAAGGAGAAATTTACACTTCTCTGATTTACTTCAAGTTTCCTTTTCATAGTGGCTTTTTTTTTTTTTTCTTTTTCCCTTCCTCTGGCCAAAGATTTCACTTTTGCCTTTCATGGTGTTTTTCAAGGCCCTTTGTTTAATGAAAGCAGCATAGAGAAGTCATCATATGGGTTAGGAACCTTAAGTTAGCTAATTTGTGAACCAAGCACAAATAACAGTAGGATGTTTTCACCCTGCTGATGTACCTGATCACCAAAGCAGAGAAGACCCACTGAGTTCAGAGAAAGAACTATCTCTAGGTATCTGTGGTGTCTGGCTAGTTGTACTTCTGAGAGGAAAGATGTGTATGGCAAGATACAGGATGAAATTAATTTAAGAGCTATTGAAGAGCTGCTGTGAATGGTAACTGAAAGTAAACACAGTGAAAACCTGACATTAAATTCATTTCAGCCCTTCTGAGAGATGCAGAGCTTCTGCTGTTTTTGTAGTGGCATTGTTTTAAGAGTGTTACTATTCCAAGAAACCTACATCTGAGTATTGTGCCTGTTAGGTTTGTAGATGTCCTGGTAACTATTATTTACAACTCCTTCATAATTTTCACTTTGTCTTTCCCAGAGATGAGAAACATAATTTTACCTCTAGCACCAATTTGATATAAATACTGCATTTGACAGGTGGGGATAGATTTTACAGGCTCCAATGGAGACCCTCGCTCTCCAGACTCTCTGCATTACCTCAGCCCTAATGGAGTTAATGAATACCTAACAGCCATTTGGTCTGTAGGAATGGTCATTCAGGATTATGATACGTAAGTTTTAGCTTTTTATTTAAATAACTTTTTAGATATGTATAGATTTTTTTTGTGGTAGTTTCTTAAACTGGTGTTGAAAATGCCAGCAGATATATTGAAATGACACTTCTGAGCTGAAATACAGAGATTAAAAAGACTTCATAATCACTGCACAATCACATAATCACAAGCAAAAGCTTGTGCTTACAGCGGGCAAGCAAGGCTTTTCATCTGTGATGTAAAGAGCAGCATTAATTTAAATAAATGCTTGCATTCTTGCCAATTTGGTGTTAAAGACTGGGTTTGGTCCTAGAAACAATTACAGGGGGGAACATCCATTTAACTTTGCCTCTTAACGCTTAATAAACAGCATTTTTAATGATCAAAAGCAGCACTGATTAGCTAAACTTAGTGAACTGTGACAGATTTTAAAGGAAGGCACTCACTTAATTTTCTTTCAAATTGTTTTTTTAGAGATAAGATGTTTCCAGCCTTTGGATTTGGTGCACAAATTCCTCCCTCCTTTCAGGTAATGGAATATGTAAATGCACTACATAAAACAACTAAAAGCACTTACTTCTGGAGGAGGATGTATATAGAGTCCTGACTGTTTTTTTTGTGTATTGACAGGTGTCACATGAGTTCCCATTAAATTTTAACCCTTCAAACCCATTCTGTAATGGTAAGTCTGAGAAAGTAACATCAGACGTGGAGAATAAAATGTTGAATATGAAGAAATAAAAACACTTGAAAAGTGAAAGGTGAAGCATGTTGTTCTAATTAAATGAGAAGTTTGGTCAGGTAGCAGGAAACAATTCTACAGCTGTTTTCTTAGTTATTAGAAATAGCATTTTCTGTCTCTTCTGTAATGATTTGTGAAAGAAGCCTTTTAAACAGCTAGGGCACAGTACAGGTAAGCTGGGAATGGTTCTCTCATGCTGTTGAGCCACTTCATTCTACTTCACTGCTGGTGTGGAGTTGTCTGGTTTGAGTACGATGTTGCTAGTGTCTGTTCAGTGTGCCCTCTGATCACACTGCTAATTACCACAAGCTGCCACGTCAAGAGAACCGTTGTAATTCAGTTACACTTCAGCATGCAGTATTTATTTTTTCTTTTCACATAAAGCCAAGCATGTTAAGCATGTGCATTAAGTTTTGGTCGAGCTGAAGGCCTCCATTGCTCATGAATCACTTATATTTTTCATCATGGTTAGTTTAAAATCTTTGCATCATCACTTAAAATAACTAATATATACAGTGTTTTAGGAAGATCAGGTGCTTCAAAATATCTTAATTCTGATATGAAAAAATTAATATGATCTATTTGTCTTCTCTAGGAATTCAAGGCATCATTGATGCATATCGGGCTTGTCTTCCTCAAGTGAAGTTATATGGGCCAACAAATTTTTCTCCGATTATAAATCATGTGGCAAGATTTGCTGCTGCAGCTACACAACAGCAAACAGCATCTGTAAGTTCTTTATGGTAGTGTGTGTATTTTTCTTACTTTTTTCTTTCCCTTCTAGTTTATAACTACTGTTTTTTCTCTTCTAAGCTTGTAATGTACTTGTTTCGACAGCTGGCCATTTATCTTGTGAATTGGTGTTTGGTACCCTTAAAGCAAGATAAAAGCTAGCTGATTTTTGCAGATTGTACACAACAATTCTCTTCTAAATTAACTATATAAACTCTTCAGGGTTGAAATACCAACTTAAAAATACATGGCACTTCCATGGTATTTTCTGTTCAAAGCTCTTGCAGTGCTATACAGGTATTAGTCTAATTTAAAATCTTTGCATATAGGAGAGTGATTTAACAGCAGCTGAGAAAAATCGATTAGACTTTGTTTCACATCTGATAGCTGAGAGAGGGAATTAAGTAAGCTGATGGAGGAATGGAGGATATAGCTACCGACACCTAGGTGCCAACATAAATGATTAACTGTCTGTATTATAAAGCTTTAGGTGCTCTATGTGCTGTGCCCCTCTCCCTAGTAAAATCATATGTGTGAGTTGTTGACCATGTTAAAAAATAGGAATTCTAAAGAGCAAGTCTTGAGTATTGAATCATTTAGATAATAATCCATGCAAGTTCAGCAAATCTGAAGTCATAATATCCAAAATCATTGATGATAGCAATACTGGTGTCTCAGATGTCATGTAAAATAAGAAAATAAAATTAGCTATTTTTGCGTATAAAATACCTGTGGAAACCAATTTGGAAAAGAGCTGTGGATTTTCGTATGCCAAGAAGTGTATAAGGTTTTGCCTTGATAGTCTTTTGGTAGGAACTGTCGTCAATTAAGCACTGGAACAGGCTGCCCAGGGAAGTGGTTGAGTCACCAGCCCTGGAGATATTTAAAAGATATGTAGCTGTGGCACTTGGGGACGTGCTTTAGTGATGGACTTGGCAATGTTACGTTAGCAGTAGGACTCGAGGATCTTAAGTATCTTTTCCAACATAAATGATTCTATGATCAATATATATATGTTAGGAAAGTAGTTTGTTTTTTTTTCCGGAGAGTGCAATATGCCTAGCAAGAGATTTATTTTTTCTGCCTGAAAGCATGTGTTGAAAAAATTTTGCTGCCTTGCCATTTAATGCATATTGTAGATATTTTGGGTTGGCTTTTGGTATTGAGTTTTTTTTTCCGGTATGGGGGAAGTGTAAGAAGAGAGAAATAAATCCAATGTGATGTGCTGTTGTGCTGCTGGTCATAGCCTTCTCTGGTCATGGTTGCTTTGTAGACATTCTTGCTGGAGTGGGGAAATGGAGAGGTGGGAAGCAATGAGAAAAGGTGATTCCTGAACACAGGAGATAAGGGAAAACCAATTATTTTGGAGACAGAGGAAGAATTTTAAGAGTACTGGGAGTACCTTTGGAACTTGAATTTGTGTTGCCCAGTAGTCGTCTGAAGTGAACCAAGTGAGAGAAGACCAGAAGACTAAAAAGTGTTTGATAGTTTCTGGACTTTGTACTTCTAGCTTATTTTTGGTACTTCAATCCAGAACAGAGGCTAAGGTGCCAATTTTAGAAGCCCTTACAGTATAGTGGGAGCAACTCAAGTGGTACTTGCATAAATTACCGAAGTACTGCAAGGTGGTTTCAGATGCCTTGGTAATTAACTTCATAAAGCAGCTAGAAAAAAACACGATCAAAGGAATTTGAAAATGGGTATTCTGTTTTTCAGCACAAAAAAAATGTGTTTTAATCTATATTTAGGATTTTAGGTATGCATTGAAAAAATGAAGACCTGTTCCATCATCCATGGTAGCACTGTTTTGTTTATCAATTCTTAACTGAATGAAGCAAAGGGTAGCATTTTGTAAAGGTATTGATAGACCAGAAGGGAAACAAATACAAGTTTCACTGGTGTTATCTGTCCAAAACCTCAATAAACTGCCTTCTGTCCCAGGCCAAATACTTGGAAGATAGGTTAACTGTTGTTTTTTGTGAGGATTTTGGAGAGGAGGAGAAGGGTGATACCATTGGGCTTTTGGGAGGTGGCTGTTTGAAGATGACTTTTTAAAAGACTGATTATGATGTCCTTATAAATTTCTTCAGACTGTACAATGAAGCCTGACCAGAACTTAGATGTTTGATTGTAAAATTCAGTGAGTGCATGGAACATGCTCAAAGTAACAACAGTATGTAGTTATTATGTGCATTTTTCTAAGTGTACATGCCTACATGTTTTCTATTTCTTTGTCATAACGCAGCGTTTATTGATTTGACAGCAATACTTTATACTTCTGATCATAACGGATGGTGTGATAACAGACCTTGATGAAACTCGGACTGCCATAGTTAATGCTTCGAAATTGCCCATGTCCATTATCATTGTTGGTGTTGGAGGAGCAGACTTTGATGCTATGGAGTTTCTTGATGGTGACAATGGAGTTCTTAGGTCCTCATCAGGAGAACCAGCTGTCAGAGACATTGTCCAATTTGTGCCATTCAGGAAGTTCCAAACTGTAAGTAATCTTAATGGTATGCTTAATAATCATTGTAGAGGTATGCTGGGTTTGCTAGGATATCCAACATAGAGAGTCCTAAGCTTTTGCACTGTCTCTAGAATGAACTCTGAAGTCTGAGATAAGTCTTTATCAAATGTTAAAAAAAAAAAAAAAACCAAACAGAAGACTTCAGCATCTGTAGAATTTCGATTAGGTGAGCTGATTTGTGTTTTAAAAGACTCCATTTCTGGTTTCAGCACTGTTTTTCTGTTCAGCACTGTTTTTCTGACAGGTTGCTGCAGGGGAATGACCTTTGTAAATCTCCCTCAGACTTGATTAAACAAATGGATGTGTTTTTAATTTGGGAGGAAGAATTTACTGTGATTTTTAGTAAAGTGTTTTTTATTGTGGATGCCCATTTGTAAATGTGCATTAGTCTTACATTTTAGTGCAGTGTTAAAATTCAAGGCTAAATGATTGAGGTCATAATCAGTAGAAATTGTGTGTGGGCACAATAGTGGTGATAGTTTTCATTTTCATTAAAGCAAATATATCAAAAAACAGGCGGTGAAAGAATGAAGTCCTGATTTTTTTGCTGTAGAACCCAGTGAAATATGCACAGGCTAATATAGTCTGAGTTTTAAATGTCATATCACTGGACAAAGTTGATTTAAAAAAAAAAACCAAAACAAAACCAAAAAAAAAGCCCCAAAAACCGAACAACCGAAATTTCCTCAGGATGGTGAAGATAAGATCAATATTTTTATTTCCATCCTGGTATGTTCTAATTTTGTTCTTAGTATTAACCCTGTTAATAATACTCCTTATACCTTCCTATTCGGTCTTTGTATTTTTATTTTTACTTTTGATACAAGTTATTTGTTTAATCTTAGAGCAACTCAGGCAAACTGACAGAGTGCAAAATCAATATAGAATATGCTTACTGAATAATGCACTTGGATGTGGATTTTCTAGGGTCAATACTCAGTATAAAATTGTATATTGAAGTGCTTTCAGTTTCTAGAAAAAGGAGTACTTTTTTTTTTTACCATGGATACTTAGTCTTACAGTTAAAAAAGTGTTTCTAGAAGAGCTGGTCTGTAGCCATACAGTTAATGTGGGTGATACTTGGTGTAAAAGGTTTGCAGTTGATTAGACAAGCCTGACCTTAAGCAGCTAGTGGAAGTGTGTTTACATGGCTGAAGTTTGATGTCTGCACACTATGTGTGTGTGTGTGAATGTATTTCATATGACAAAGGTATCTTCAGACCTGGCAGCCCTTTGTGCACCCAGGTCCTGTCACTTCAGTGGAACAAGGCAGCCAGCTGATTCCTGGTAATGGGAGCAAGAAGGTAAAGATGTCAGGGAAGCTTCCATCTGTCCCACACGGGTGCTGTGCAAAGTGCTCTGTAAAATGTCAGACTTTAAATTGGCCTAGCAGAGGAGGTGCTTATTACCAGTCTTAGGATCTCCATTAGCAGTTGCTGGAAACTGAAACTTGGTGTTCTTTTTTATAAGTCTCCAAGAGAAGCTCTGGCGCAGTGCGTCCTGGCAGAAGTCCCTCAGCAAGTAGTGAACTACTTCAGCACCTACAAACTGCAACCTCCTAAGAATCCTGCTGGAAAATGAATGGGCTGAGCAGGGGAACTGGGACTCTGTGCTTGCTGTACTTGCTATACCTACAGACTTTGGTTCTTGAGATACTTCTCTATACATGTATACACACACCTCTGTATGGTAACGTCTGTTAGCTTTTGCCTGCAAATCACTTTGCCAAGTGTGCCTTTTAAGGGCCGAAATTGTAACTGTGTTCGTATTTGATGTTGATTTGAGAGATAGAGCTTACATGAGTGCATTTCATTTTGAAAAGGAAGAGTGGGGAAAAAAAGGAGGTTGAATATTCAGAGAGAAGGGGGACAGCAGCTGGAAGTGGAACAGCTGGCTGTTTGACAAATATGGCCAGTGAGAGCGTTTGTTTACTTTTGTGCGGATCAGCACTGAGGACTGCAGTTTTTCTCTGATCATAAACCTAGTCTGAAATGAGAAAGAGGGTATATCCCCACCAAGCAGATAGAAGTTTGTATGAGCTTCAATAAGTCTGGAATACTTTAGGCTTCTGTGTCTATTAAGCCACCATAACAAAATTTTGTCAAGGGAGTTTCTTAATTAGATGAGGGCCAGAACAGAGCGTAAAGGCCGTTCTTGCACACCTACTTTACATTTGCCACTTCAGTGCCTTTGGCCGATGCCTGGGATTCAGGGCTGTGAGTATGAGCCAAACAAGTCGTTAAAGAGAATGCACACTATAAAAGAATATATATTTAAGATAGTACAGGAATAACTAGGGTGAATCAAGGTAAACCTCTAACATCTCAGAAGAATACTATTGGCCTTTGAGGCTACTACTACTGTAAAGGCTGTAACGTGGGTTTCACTGTGTGCTGTGCTGGAAAAAGGCGACTCCAGAGTTTATTTTGGTTGGGGTTTTGTTTTGTTTTTTTTTTTTTTTTTTTTTTTTTTTTTTTGTTTGTTTGTTTGTTTGTTTTGTGGTGGTGTTTTTTTTTTTTTCTATAAAGTAGTCAAAAATATTGATCTTTAAAGGGGTTTCTGTGAAGTGGGAATTCAGTTTTTAGTTTAGAAGTTTTGTCTGATTTATAACTGCACATTTTCAAGCAAAGGCAGTTTTGAAAGTGCTACCTATATTGTTTTTGTCATATTTTGAATCATGCTTCTTTTTCATGAGTACACTAATGAAAAGTGCCTGCAAAAAATCCAGTCTTCCTTTTTCCTTGCCAGTAGGAAGGCATAAGAAAGTCTCTGAGCTCCAATCCTGTAATCATAGTGCATTTATCTCAGGCAAACAATTTCTGGTTTATTTTCTTTAGTTTTCTCTTCACTGTTTATACCAAGTGTAAATGTTGACATGTTTGCTTAGTGGAAAGATTAAGGTTTCTTGTCTCAGAGCTGCATACTGCTTGCTGATGATCTCTTCTGATCCTGCCAGTGAGTGTATCATTAAGTGGATGTGACGATCTCATTTATTACTTCCAAAATGCTCACCTTGAACATCAATTCTGCAATTTCACATTTGAAGTACTTCAGTTAGACACCTGGCTGATCTTATTTTGGATGGTCTGGCTGTAACATGTAAGAACAGAATGGACTAACGCTGAATTTAGCATACTTGACTTGGGCATTCAAGGTTGCACCAGGTCATAGCATATGTGACTTTGTATGTGACTTTTTTTCAGTTCCTGAATCTGCTGTGTGATTTATTTTTTTACTTTTTTTTTTTTCTATACACGTATAAGCCTGTCAGATATATGAATTCACATTAACATTGATGGTTGAAAGATATATGTATTGAGATTGTCTTACACATCCTGTAAAACGTAACAAATGTTTTGTAGACAGTTGACTAGTTATCAGTCCTGAATGAATATGTTACTCTCCACTCCATTTTCCTTGGTGGAAGGGGGTCCTGAATAGTTTCAGTAGCAGAACACTAAGGAAGAGATTTTGTTTCGTATTAAACAAAGCTCCTTTTTTTTTTTTTTTTTTTTAAAAAAAATCTAATTAATGTGTTTTGTAAAAATCTACAGACATCTTTTTATCAGGGTAGTGCAAATGTGTTACTACTTTATTCGTAAATTTTAATGAAGTGTTGTGCCAGACATGCAACAGAAAATACTAAGATCAAGGAAATCGTTATAATGAACCTAAATCACACTGCTACAAATTGATACTGTGTCATTTTGGAAGAGTAAACTGTTTCACAGCTGCATAGTCCGTGTACAAAGATAACCAGATGCGGTATTAATGCTTTATCTAGATTCACTGAAGTGGATGAGTGCTACTGGTAGGAGTACAGGATACTACTGAAGTTCCTCTGAGCTGTCTGCCAAAATTACAATGCTGCATCTCAGTTCTGTTCCCAATTCTGTTTTAAGTTGCTGTGGAAGTGCATTTCAATGCATTTAAGTAAGCTAGTAGGTATTATACTAAATACTGGCTGCATATAAAATAAAACGTCTTGTTTTCTCTGTATTCTATACATAAATTCTGAGTTTCTACAGTAGAGAATTCATTATCTCTTATTGGAAAAGTGCCCCCATGTTCCTTAAGCTTAGGGAATTAAATAGTGCATCGATGACACCTATTTCTCAATGTGCCCTGTTCTATGTAAAGGACAAGTGTTTCAGACCTGACAGTAGCAAGAACCATTTTCCAGGTACAACTTTTTCTTAGAGGTGTGCAGCTAACACGTGTTGAAAAATTGGAAACTTCCAAGTTAGGCTGAAGCAATATTCTGAGTCAAGGAATGCAGCAGATTGTGAGTCAAAGGGGAGGGGAGTTACTTCACTGTTTTGCCATTTTTTATTTGTTTATTTTTACATGTAAAAAATGCCTTATTAGCTTGAGAGTGACAAAACAAAATAATTGTCAAACTTTTGTAAAGTGAATGTGCTTGTAGGTCACTTGCTCCATCTTGTGATAAAAATGATGTATAGCAGTCTTTGTAATCACACTTTTTGCCATTTAATGGTTGTAATATGACAGAATTTTTTATTTTCCTATGTGTTTCAATTCTGATGAAGTTATCTGATTTACAATGCCTATGCATTAAAAATATAATTTCAGTATACTGTTCTATTGTGCTTTTGTGTTCAGTGTTTTCTATGTAATGATAAATGCTGCTTTTACAGTTCCTATGATGAGTATTCCACAATCTGAACAGCTCAGATTTATAACAAGTATTATCAGATGAGAGGAAAAATGCCTTTTCACTCAGTGGTTATGAATGTGCAGTATATATTTCATAAAGCTTCTTGTACTTGACTTGTAGCAAGAAGATATTCTGAAATTGGATGGGTTTTGCAGCGACTGTTTCATGCTGTTTGCCACGTTAGAGTTCTCCCATGCATGCTGTTTCCTACAATTATGATCAGGTTTTCCAAAACTTTTTTTTTTTTTCCAGATCAGCGGCTACATTTTAAGTACAGATGCGTGGAGATTGGGTTATTTTGGGTTTTCTAATACATTATGCTATTCCACCCTTCAGTTTTTCTACATTCACGGTCAAGTCTGAGATGCTTTATTGGGAAACTTGAGAGATTCTAGAGACATATTGTTGCAGCAGAGTGCAATGCCATACAGAATCTGAGGGAGCTTTGATACTGGAAGTTGTGTCTTCTGAGATCTCTGGAGTAGTTCACTTCTCCACCAGTCAAGAATCCACAGGGTAGAATTAGTGTCTGAAAGGATTTAATACATCTTACATCTTGACCTTTCTTGTGTCGTTTCTTGTGGTGAAAACCCTATAAATAGTTGCCAGAAAGGATCCAGGAGTACAGCCTGCCCTGGCCACACCTAAAAATGGAGGAATTCTGTGAAGGCGAAAATAGAAACATAATCACAGAATACCAGGCTGGAAGGGACCTCAGGGATTGTCTGGTCCAACCTTTCATGGCAAAAGCACGGTCTAGACAAGATGGCCCAGCACTCTGTGCTGCTGAATTTTGAAAGTGTCAAATGTTGGGGAATCCACCACTTCCCTGGGAAGTTTATTCCAATGGCTGGTTGTTCCTATTGTGAAAAATTTTCCTTTTATGTCTAGTCGGAGGGTGCTCAGGAGTAACTTGTACCCATTACCCTTCATCTTTCCCATGGGACTCCTAGTAAAAATACTGCCAACAGCAAAGTAGGATGTCGGAGCAAACCAGATGGATGTTACTTTTGTGTGGCCATCATCTCCTGCAAACATTGACACTTCTTTGTTTTGGGTCTGAACTCGAGAGCTGTGGATAACTTAGTAATTTTGCAGACAGAACTGACAGGCTGTCCTGCAATCCTGAGCTGTTAAGAGCTGTAGCAAAGCAGCAACTTGTGGGATGCTCTGTTGCTGCCATGTAATGCTTGCTGCTGCAGCCTCAGCCCTTACTTTGTGATATATGTCAGTGTGTGGTTGATGAACTTAAATATACTGACAGTGAAAATGTTTGAAGTTACCTGGTAGCGTTTGTGTAGGCAGAAGGGGATCGGATCTTTTGCAATGAGAGCGAGCTTTACTCATTAATACAAAAATGTTCAAATATGGGGGTTTATGATTTTTTCCCCCCTTCCATAATGTTTTGACAGCTCTCTGTCAAAAAAAAAGAAAATGTGGGAACCATATATTGTAATGAATTCATAGATCATTGTTCTTCATAAAGGCCTTGTTTGCGAAGCAGTTGTGCAATATTTCTAATTTTGAGGTTATATTAAGAAGACATTTCTGCATATGCAATAGATGAGTAATTTATTATTCATCTTACCGTTTTCTACTCCTGTTGTGACATCCTTTTATCTTGCATATCAAATAACAAGTAACATACAAATAAAGATGGTTCTTCCCATGTAGCAGTTGGACCTTGATGTCACTGCTAATGTGACAGAACTTTCTTTTTGAAAGAGATTTGGGTTTTGGTTATGTCAGAGGATGTGTGAAATATATAACATACCGAATTCAATCATCCAGCTTTTACTTAGGCAAAGCTCCCACTGATTCTGGTTGGGCTGCCAGCTTTGCTGTGATTACAGAAGTTCAAAGGCTTTAAAGAACAGGCCTGCAGAATGCATAGCCCACAGGGTCATACATAGCCTGTGAAGTGAATGTTTAATTTTGATGTGTTGCCTTCCTTAGTTGGCAGGTCAGCTGAGGAGCTGTGAAGCCTGCCCTTAAAGATTTCTTGTCTTGGCCTCTGCGTAATGATTTTGGTTCCCAAAACTGTTCATCCAATGGGGACCAAAAGT